CCTCTCTCAAGATCATTCAAAGATTTGAAGAGATCGAGCGGAGTATTGTCTTGCCTTCTTCGAGCCGGCCTTTTTATTTTACGACACGGAGCTCCTTTCACTTTGTGCTCTCTTGGCAACATTCGACAACGATTCGACGATTGCGAGGTTCGTTGACGATCGTGTTAATAAACCTTCCAAGTGTATGCGTCATATAATAGATAGGCGTGAAGCGTAAAAAAAAGTGTTTGTAAAATATTAAATACGAAACGGTGCGTATAATTCGCGGACAGCTGGTCGATAGGCACAGACCGTAGGAGGTATCGTGCGCGTGTCGACGTTCACGCTCATTCGGCGACGTTTCTATCGGGGGCGGGGGGGGGGGGCATTGGGCAAGAATTTTAGGCCATACTAAAAGAGGAGAGACGAGTGATCTCTCGAGGATTCGCAAAGTGTCCACCGATGGAGAACGCGTTCTATTATTCGTTTTTTTACCTTTCGAAAGAGAAATTTTAGGGGAAAAAGAAAAACTATGCTTTTTCGTTAAACGATTGTTTCGGAATGCAATTCTCGCGCCGTTCGTTAAACGTCCTGGCAGAGTATACGACGGCGAGGCTTCACCTCGTGAGCGTACGTGCGACGACTCGGATATCGACTCGATCGTCGCGATTTCAAAGCAAAAACTTCCCCCGTCTGTTCGATTGTATCTGTAGTAACGGTCGGTCTATCGTTCTCGCGGATTTTCCCGCGTTGGGTCGTAGCACGGAACAACCGCCGTATTTTCTCTTTCCAAGAAAATCGATAATGCCAGCCGGTCTTTCCTTCTTTTCTTCCTCTTCCTCCTCCTCCTCCTCCTCCTCCTCCTCCTCCTTTATTATGTTCCTTTATTTACGTATCCTTCTTCCAATCTTTCTTTCGCCGACACGAAAACCTGTTTTAACCCTTTTTCCGTCACGAATCATCCTCCGACGAATTATTCCTACGATTTCTCTCGTTTATACCGTCTAAAGCTTTTTCAAATTCAATTCAATCGCATTATTCGCGACGATGACGTATCTCATATCGCAGCTAAAACTTTCGCGTGACTTTGGAAGCGACGATCGACGAGCGAGAACGTTAAAAATCGCGCGATCCGGACGAACGTTTCTCTTGCGCAACGATCATTATATCTCGTGGTACGGACCGAATGGCGCGCATAACCATAACTTAATTGGTGGTTGGCCGCATCGCGACTTTGGGATTGTAGTTTTCTCGAGCAGAAGTACATTGTGCGGATCGATCTCTCTCCCTCCCTCCCTCTCTCTCTCTCTCTCTCTCTCTCTCTCTCGAATGTCTGGAAAGTTTGGTGAAATTGAGGGCGAACGTCTCGTCGTTGCTTTACCTCTCGCAGACGTATAAAAAAAGGAACGTGGCGAAAGGGAGAAAGAGAGAACGATCGCGTTTCTCTCTATTTGTCCAAACTAGTTTCGGTAACACCAGTTCCCAGTGAATTAATTCAACGAGAACTTAAAAAGCGTTGTTGGGACGTGCTTGAGAGGGAGAGAAGGGAGTTATTTTATACGGTATAATTTGGTGGGAATATCGTACTGTACCGCCTAACTGTACCCCGGGCTGTCTGCGACAAAAGGCACAAAGGATCGAAAGAGAGAGAGAGAGAGAGAGAGAGAGAGAGAGAGAGAGAGAGAGAGAGAGAGAGTATATAAACGCCATTCGAAATCACCGGTTTACGGAACTTTGTTGTTCGAGTCGATCCTGTCCTTCGTATCGATTTTAAAACATATTTTTTTTATCAATTTAGCTCCCTTTGTTCGATTTTGTTGCGGTAAAAAAAAAGTCGTCCAAATAGGCGTGGTTAATTTGGACGGTCGTTGTTTCTGGGTGAAAAGCTTCGGTGAAATTTGACGTCGAATACGGGACTCACCGCTTGAGCACGGTGTCGAGGATTATATCTCCGACCCTTTCTCCTTCCAACGTTTTCCCCTTTAAACAAACATTTAAAAGCCGTTAATTATCGTTAACGCTCTTTGCCACGAGACCCAACTAACTTTCGCGAACGCGGTCGTCGAGATATTAAGCGACGGATATTTCATTTTGAAAGTTTCAAATTAAAATACTTCCGGAAAACGATGCGTGCGGCCGAGCTCGAACAAATTGGTTATTGTAATCTCTCTCTCTCTCTCTCTCTCTCTTTTCCATTCGCATCGCAGCGATGAAAGTAAACCGATTCGTATCGTCCAAGAGGAAAGGAGATCAAAGTATATCTTCGAAAGCATATAGGACTATAGAAAATCGTAGGAGGTTTACGTGGGTCGCCTCCGCTGATGCGATATCGATCCGAGCGAGAAGGGGTTGTCTTTGGAGGGCGTCGTGCCTATCGCTCGAAGGCGCAGCATTGCGGATTTTCTCGAAAGACGAGAGAACAATGAGCCTCGTTAAGGTTCTCTCACCTTTTTGCGAGGAAGGGCCGATATAGTAGAAAGAAATAAATAGACATTCTTCTTCCGATAAGCACAAGCATGTTTTCTTTTTTCTCCGCTTGGCCGTAAGAGTTGGTAGTACTCCATGCGAGCGTGATTATTCGAAGAGGAAGTAGCGACGACGAAGGTTGGCCGGTTTTATACTGGAAAGAAAATAATCACGACGTGGCATATGTTGCGTCGGATAGTCCGTCGTCGTCGTCGTCGTCGTCTTCTCTTGTCGCGTAAGCGTGGTGGACGAGAAAAGGAAGGACAGCTCGTGGCTGCTTGCCTCCTCTGACCTAGAAATCGATCGATACCGATTGGTTGAGCTGCTCGTTCATTTTTCTCTCTCTCTCTCTCTCTCTCCCTCGCGCGCGCGCGCTGTCTCAAAGGTCCACAAACCCGTTTGACATTTAGACGCATACTTAAATCGTTAGATCCGTCTACAGGAGAGTTAGCTCGTTCGTAACGACGAACGAGCGTCTAATAATTTACCTTCGATCGACCCATTTCTTTGTCTTCTTTTTCTTTTTATATATATATATATATATATATATATATATTATTATACATTCTTTCCCGGACACTAATCTCGAAATTCTCGCAGAAACGATAGAAACTTTGTGTTGTGAAAGGGGCACCTGTCCCATAGGATCTCGTACTTTTCCGTAATTGTGTCCATAATTGCAAGAGAAACGTCATCTTTTAGTTTTTTACTTGCTTTGCGGCGGTCGTCGTATCTCGATCCTCGCTCGTCGCAGCTCGTAAGCACGGAACTCGCAGGAATATTCCGGGGTTGGCGCGTGTACACATTAACAACAACCATCCTATCGGATAAGATAACGATGCTCGTTCTCGCATCTTTCAACGGCATAGGATCGATGAAGATAACGTTAACGATATGGCATTTTGATGGCATTTTTATGGCATCTTCGAAATCCACTAAACGCTCGGGGAGACCTGTAACCTGTAACAGACTTTGTCTTTAGGTCAGAGCGACGGATCTACGACGAGGAGGATCCATTCGTTAGGACGAATACGTTGTGGAACGGAATCTAGATAAAGGCGTTCTCGAAGGCGACTTGCTGCTTCCTAATAGATGCTCTCCTCCTACGCACGCGCACGCGCCCATCGTGTATCGTTAAATACATACACATATTATGTACCAGAGAGAAGAGAGGCGAGAGAAGTTTAACGCGACGCGAAGGGAGGACAGAGACGCTCGAGTTCGCCGTCCGAGAGAAAGTGAACCAGTTGGCGGTGTTGCCGAATATCTCGGCTCTACGAGCAGCCGTCCCGATCAAATCCACATACCGCGAATTGGCAACGACGCGTCTCGAGGTCCGCGCGATTATGTCTCGCGAGATCGATCGATCGATCGATCGATTGATCGGTAAAGCCGCGGCCAAAGGGGTAGAATCGAAAGTCAACGTCGTCCTATCCTATTCGTTCGTACGGTACTCCTCGTCAAAATGAGTTTCGCTTTCGTTCGTTGACACGCGCAAAGACGATGTATCGTTAAATGGCTCAAAGTGTCTGGGTTGCGTCCGAGAAAGAGAGATATTGCGCCGTCTTCGCTAGAATCAATCATTGTACGGATTATTACGATGATTAAAATTCTAATGGATTTTAATGGATTCTAATGGATCGAGAGAAAGGACACGTCGGTAAACGCGCATTCACTCGGATTTACGAAAGGACAAGTTGGCGAACGGCGAACGTTCTCCGAATCCTATTTTTTAATTCCCGGTCTCTCCTTTCTTCCCTATTTTCCTTCCCTTCGTTTCTCGCTCGCGATCTCATCGGTGAAAGCGATCGAGAACGTTCCTTTATAGTTTTTCTTTCCATAGTTAACCTCTCTCTCTCTCTCTCTCTCTCTCTCTCTCTCTCTCTCTCTCTCTCTCTCTCTCTCTCTCTCTCTCTGGCGCTCATCTATCCTCGGACACGATCACGAGATGGAATATGAAGTTTCCTTTTTTTCGGATTCGCGAGCCCGTCTTGCGGCGTGCCGCACCGGTCAGAAGCAACGCGGCGGCATTACTTTCCCTTTCTGAGCGATCGTCCGCTCGAGAGCCTAGAAATTGCACGCGAAATGAGTCGATAGTCGTAGCGCGTGCGATATGATATACGTATGTATGTATGTATCTCGATACTTTCTCGCAGGAAGGCTGCTGCAGCTTTTCCATCGATTTTTGCCTATCGACGATGCCAAATGGTTCCTAAATTCTAAGAGAAAATTTTTATTGCTGGTAAACGTTCGCAAGCGTTCGAACAATTATATAAGAAATTACGTAACGGTGTGGTGTCGACGCGACGCGACACTGGGACACACGCAGGGGTGCGAGAGTCATTGTTACTTAACGACGATTAATTGCTACTCTCTTTCCCCCTCGACCTTGCGCACGCCCGACTCTCGAGCCAATTCTTCCTACGTCACGTCCAAGGAAGAGCTCAACATTTTTTGTTTCTTCCTTCCTAAACGACGGCTTAGCTCGTTACCCAAAATTCAAGAAATTTCAACTTGAGAATAATGTATCCCTTCCTATTTCTTATGTGTTTCAGAACAAGACCAGCCAAAACCCTACGATACAGTTCCTAGGAAATGAGGGGGTAAGTAGAATGGGAAACATCCCTTTGTGCTCGAACCATTTAATCGAATCTCCTTAATCTTCTTTCTTAACGCCATTTCATAGGAAACGTATTTTACGAATGACGCGACGGTACTCGAGCTGCTCAACTCGTAAATAATGTAGTAGTAAAACGCGTACAAAGCGAGCGGCTTTACGTTTCGGATCGTAAAGATCGTTCGTCGTCGTCGTCGTCGTCGTCGTCGTCGTCTCTTTCTCTCTCTCTCTCTCTCTCTCTCTCTCTCTCGGGATTCCCGTTGACTTGGTTCGTCTCGGAAGTTACACGATTGTCGTTTAATGCGTCGTTCGTGCGAAAGGAACGACGCATCTGCCACGTCGTTCTCTTCGGCAAGCGCAAAGAACAAAAAAACAAAAAAACAAAAAAAAAGAAAAGAAGAAAAAGAAATATCTCCTTCGAATTATCGATTAAAATCGCACGTCCGTTCGTTCGTTAAAAAAAGTCAATCTCGTCATCGAGCAACCCAGAGACGCAAGGCAACGAGCGGCGAAGGTTCCTCGAGGAGTGAAGGCGATCGAGGTCGTTCGTGCAAGGTTGTTGTATGCCGTTTTCTTGCCTCTCCTCTCTAGTCGTTGCTATTGCCAATTCCTATCTCCTTCTCTTCCTCGATCTTTTCGAATTTACGTTGCGCTAATCGCGAATAAACGAGCGCTTAACACGATCGACCGATGATATCTCACGAGCTCTCTTTTCGATGAAAATTTATCGCATCCTTACTTATTAGTTTTATTTTCGGAGGACCGAACGACATGCGCGAAACGCCTAAGTACGCAGTCGTTCGTCGATAAGTACTTTTCCATCTTTATACTCCATTTTTCCTACTCACAAGTAAGATTCTTTATAAATCCTCGTTTCGAAAACGCGCACGAAGATTCGGAGGTAATTGACCTCTCCTTCTTCTCTTTCCTCGTCTTTCTCTCCGTGTTCCTTTTTTGGGTGTGGTCGCTTCTCTCTAATAAATACAGTCCCCCCTCCCTCCGTATTTCCAGTCGAAATTTCCATCTTACTCCATTTCGTCGAACGAGTAAATATTTTTCTTCTTCTTTATCCGCGCGTACGAATCAGTTTCGAATTAATTATATTTATCCGTAGGATAAATCAAGGATAGAGAATAGCCGGGATTTTTTTTGCGAGGTTTTTAAATCGACCTCGTGCCGGTAAATCTAATGACGGGCCGAACGACCCGTCAAATAGCGCCTGCCGAATGTTGCGATAGTAGTAGCGCGCTTCTTCTTGGAATCCCAACGTCGATTCGTTCGAAGGAGGAAAATGCTTTAATCTTTGGCTCCGATCAATTTGGTGTCGTTCGTGCGTTACCTCAGGTGCGTCATTTGATTCGATAAGAAGGACGACGTTTGATTTGGCCGCTGCCGCCGCCTGTTCTTATCGCGTACAAGCGTGAATTAACGCGCGGGTAGGATAAGGCTTCATATAAATATGATATGTCACTATTACACGTGCGATCGAATATCGTATCCGAGAATATTATCGAGTCCGTCGATAATAATGCTTCCGTCCTGTAAATGCTTCTCTCTAAAGCGCGACCTTGTCAGCGCGTAACGACCCGATATAGTAGTAACCCTTAGGGATTTCATATTTTCTTCATTCGCGATGAAGAGACTATTCGTGGGCAGACTATCCGACACCTCTGGTTTATTCTTGGAATGGACAAGTTTTCTTTCGTCGATGAATTAAAAATTAACTTACTCGTAGGATTATAAAATCTTCTTCCCCGGCCCCCCTCCCCCACTCCCCTTTTTTCTCCTAAATAACTCGGATCGTTTGGGTCAAAAAGCGAGTGGAATTATATACCGGTACAATTCGATCGTTTCGACCGAAGAACTTGTCGTTTACCAACGAGAGTCTCTTTCTCTCTCCCATCTACGATAGAAAGAGAGAAAGGGAGAATGGCGGGACGGGGGAAAAGATCTAAGGACGGTTGCTTTTAATATGGCTGGCAAGTTTCGTGCTTTGCATTTAAACGTATCTACAGAGCGCATACGCATGTATTTAGTACATACTCGTAACGTAGTTAACATTTTCTTATGCATTGGTTTAAACGTAGTAGCGCGCAAGCGCGCTTACTTTCGCATCGTTGCCTTTCACTCGGACAACAACCAACTAACTACTTACCGACCGTCGTCCGTTTTACCTGAGAGCCTTCATCCGCGCTTTATTCGTGCCGCTGTAATCGTTATCGTCCTTTATCATCCATCGCTCTTTTTCTCCTTTTGTCGCGTTACGAATTAATTAATAATAATTACGAATTAATAATCGCCGTGTAAGGGGAAGGCTGTAAGTCGAAGGAGCAAGAGAAAAGTGAGAATGAGACGTTTCGACGAAAACGCGCTAGGATTAATTATGCGTTGTTTATCAATGCGACAAAGATTTCGCTGGATGCGCGCGCCCGTCGATCCCCCCTCCTCTTTTCCTTCGACGAGCGCGCGCGCGCATCCAGTGACGCTCCTTGTTTTGCTCGCGAGGCTCTTCTCGGCAATGAAATTCTTTGCCGTAACAGTTACTTTTACGCGTGACCCACTTCCAGCCATTCCAGCAGTCGAATCTAAGCGACTCGACTCGATAAGTGGGTCGAACGATCCGAGAGAGAATATATCCTCTCTTGGCCTCGGCGACGAGCTCGAGATGATTATCGTGATTATCGTCGATTAGCGTGACACATCGCGAAACGAGAGAGGAATTTCCTTTGTCCCGCCGATGATCGCGGAAAGATCCTTAGAACGATGCGCGCTGACTTTGCGCCTTTTCTTTTTCTTTTTAGAGGAATTTTTCAGAATAATTTGCGTCCTAGGAGACACGTATTTAGATCTAGGAGAGGGGATCCTCGTCACGGATTAAATAAGGTATATCCATTCTAGCTCTGCGCCGACATTTAGGCGTAATGCATTGTAATTACCGATTCGTAGATACTCGCGGTACGAGAGAGTACGAATATAATCCAGTATATTTCTTTCGCGAGACGAAAAATAAATAAACAGTGACCGATCTTTTTTCTTATCTCTCGCGACTTGTAAAGGATGCTTTTGTCCTTGAATATGGAAAGTCAGAAAAGACTCGCGACTTTGAGATCTTGGTGGATCGTCGAGGAGATCGATAGTATATGTAATACGTATGAAAATACGTTAGGAGAAAGGAGAGGCGTCTAAAAGGTCTGGAACCGCCCTTTCGAATTTAGGCCGACCGACCGACCGACCGACCGACCGACCGACATCACCGTAATAGCGTGCGAAGCCGCCGCGGCCAATCGAAATCACTAAACGGCCATTGCCCGTAGGCGGGGTGCGCCGTTCGGAGCGCTACGAACAGTTTTGCGACTGTATCAAATTCGATTTACCTTCGGTGGACGTAAGCGACGGAAAAATGATACGACCTAGGGCCACCTTCTATCGTCCTATATCTCTTTTCTATATAATCTGGCGTCTATCTTGTATGGAAGATAGAAAGAAAAGAAAAAGATCCGTTAGCATAATTAACAAAGTGAGACAGACGAAGCGAGGAATCCTAATCCTAGTTTCTATTTCCAAAGGACGAGCGTCCTAGGTCAGGAACTACGACTTTCAGGTCGCAGAGACGATGTTCCTTTGCGCGGAGCATTCTTCCCTTTGGATACGCGCGTCCTTCTACCCGACTATTCTTTGCGTATATAGAGACGAGTGCGGAAGGACGACAGATAGTTTCTATAGGGAAGAATCGTTAGACTCTCCACGCGCGTCGTAGAGATACATAAATAATACGCGTGCGAATGTTGAGGGTTGCATCTCGAAAAGTTAATTTCGAACGCTAATTTTCAATCGGCCGCGCGGCTCTCTCTCTCTCTCTCTCTCTCTCTCTCTCTCTTTCTCATCTTTCGAGGTGAATCTCTCCGTACGGTATAGGTTAAGCTTTTTGCTCTTACTCCTCGTCCATTATACGATTTTTATCGACGATTATCTCTCCCTTTCGAAACGAAAATTATAAATCGGCTTCGAACCTAGACGCCAGGATTCTTTGTAAATTTCCTTTCGAGCTCTCGATTATATCGCATTTATTGTTTCCCGATGGCAGCGTATTAACAACGATACGACACGGTAATCGATGAATTTACGTAACCGAAACTATACCTGCTATAGATAGTATTCCTTGTACGCGACGAGTAACTTCATTTTTTAACAGCAGCTTATTATCGGTCGATAGGAATGACTCAAAAAAAAAAAAAAAGAAAAATAATAATCGCGAAAATAAAAGATAAAGCGAGACGTTTGACGGGAACTATATCAAACTTTACTACCCGTAACTTATATACATATGTACAAAGGGGAAAGGGGATTGGTTTTATTTAAATCTTTTCGCTTCGAACGGCGCGATTACGAATAGCTTGTACGTTACGACGTACGTATATGTGTACAAGTCGTCGAAATATTGACTGTCAGATACGCGAATAATGAGTACGTCAACGTCGATTTGTCCTCGGCGTTGTTCCATTTCATGGCGAACGTATTATTTCGCGAGGGCGTCAGACCAAAAGTCTCTAAAATCTGTCGTTTGAATCAACCTTCAAATATACACACACACACATGTGTATATGTATATATATATAAGTCTTTCTTTTTTCTTTGAATTAAAAAGAAATTTTGAAAGGCGAAGAAAGAGAACTTATACGACCGTAACGCGTTCCATCGAAAGCGTCGACATCCGGCAAAGCGTCGGCTCTGAACGCGAGCGTTAGCTCCTTCGTTACATCCTTTCGAGAAAGATGACGGTGAGAAGATTCAAGTAAGATGCGAGGATCGATTCGAAAGAGAGGTAATCGAATTCGTCTCGCTCTCACGTGAAAATACCGTTAAAAGATTTGACGTTCGTATGTCGTTCTAACGGCCTATCTCGCCCATAAGAAATAGACGAAATTTATCGAAGAACGGTATTTGGTGACGTAACACACGTGGCAATTTTCAAACGATCCGACAAGC